TCAATACCATCAGTGAAAACGAGGCCAGGGGCTGACTATAGAACAGACTGTCAGTTGCTTATATCCAAGTTCAAGTTGAAGCTGAAGAAAATTAAAATAAGTCCAAAATACAACCTTGATTATATCTCACCTGAATTTAGAGATCATCTAAAGAATAGATTTGACATATTGAACACCAATGACCAAAGACTAGATGAGTTATAGGATGATGTCAAGAACATCATACATTAAAAAAGCGAAAAGTCATTAAAAAGACAGGAAATGAAGAAAAGACCAAAATGGATGTCAGAAGAGACTCTGAAACTTGCCCTTGAATGGACAGTAGCTAAAGTGAATAGAAGAAATGATTACATTAAACAGCTGATCAGAAGATTTCAAGGGGTGGCTTGAGAGGACAAAGTGTTAGAATGAAATGTGCAAAAATCTGGAGTTAGAAAATCAAAAGGGAAGAACACACTCAGCATTTCTCAAGCTGAGAGAATTGAAGAAAAAAATCAAGCCTTGAGTTGCAATATTGAATGATTCTGTGGACAAAAAATTGAACAACACAGGAAGTATCAAAAGAAGATGGAATGAATACACAGTCACTGTACCGAAAAGAATCAGTCAATGTTCAACCATTTTAGGAGGCAGCATCTAATCAAGAACCAGTGTATTGAAGGAAGAATACATTGGTTCTTCTGCACTGAAAGAATTGGAGAAATACAAGCTCTAGGAATTGATGGAATACTCATTGAGATGTTTCAACAAAAGGATACAGCACTGGAGGCACTTGTCTATGCCAAGAAATTTGGAGGACAGCTCCTCAGCCAACTGACTGGAAAAGATTGATATTTGATCCAACAGAATGTGGAAATTATCAAACAATATCATTAATATATCACACACGGTAAAATTTTGCTGAAGATAATTAAATAATGCTTGCAGCAGTATATTGACATGGAACTTCCAGAAATTCAAGCTGGATTCAGAAGAGGATGTGGAATGAGAGATATCATTTTTGATGTCAGATGGATCTTGGCTGAAAGCAAATAATAGCAGAAAGATGTTTACCTGTATTTTATTAACTATGCAAAGGCATTCAACTGTGTGGATCATAAGAAATTATGGATAACTTTGTGAAGAACGGAATTCCAGGCACTTGATTTGTGCCCGTGAAGAAGCTGTACATAGACCAAGAGGCTGTAGCTCAAACAGAACAAGAAAATGCTCCACGGTTTAAAATCAGGAAGGGTGTGAGTCAGGTTTGTATCCTTTCACCATACTTATTTAATCTGTATGCTTTGCAAATAATCCAAGAATCTCGATTATATGAAGAGGAATATGGCATAACAATTGGAGGAATACTCTTTAACAGCCTTCAATATGCAGATGGCACCAGCTTGCTTGCTAAAAGTGAGGAAGACTTGAAACACTTACTGATGAAGATCAAGACTACAGTCTTCAGTATGGATTACATCTCACCATAAAACAAACATTCCCACAACTGGACCAATGAGCAACATTATGATAAATAGAGAAGAGATTGAAGCTGTCAGGGATTTCATTTTACTTGGATCCACAATCAACACACATGGAAGCAGCAGTCAAGAAATTAGTTGTTGTATTGCACTGGGCAAAGCTACTGCAAAATACTTCTTCAAAGTATTAAGAAGCAAAGATGTTACTTTGAAGACTAAGGTGTTCCTGACCCAAGCCATAGCATTTTCAATTGCTTCATGTGTGTGTGAAAGCTGGAAAATGAATAAGGAAGACTGAAGAAGCGTTGATGCCTTGGAGTAATGGTGTTGGTGACAAATACTGAAAATACCATGCACTGCCAGAAGACCAAGCAAATCTGTCTTGGAAGAAGTACAACCTTAGATCCTTAGAAGCAAGAATGGTCAAACTTTGTCTTACCACCAGGTGCTCTGTAGGAAGAAACATGAGGCAGTCTGCTTCAGTAAAGATTTACAAAGGAGCTTTGGTAGCACAGTGCCTAAGGTATTTGACTGCTAACCAGAAAGTTAGTGGTTCAAGCTCACCAGCCACTCGACAGAAGCAAGACTGGGCAATCTACTTCTGTTAAGATTTACTGCCTCAGAAACCCAATGGGGGTCACTATGAGTCAAAAGCAACTTGATGGCAGTGGGTTTTTTTCAGGGGTACTTTTTTCCTGTTGTCAGAAGGGACCAGTCCCTGGAGAAAGGATATCATGCTTGGTAAAGTAGATGGTCGGCAAAAAAGAGGAAGACTGCCAAAGAGATGAATGGACACAGTGGCTAACACATGGGCTCAAGCATAGCAAATATTGTGAGGATGCTGGAGGACTGGGCAGTGTTTCTGTTGTGCATGGGGACACTATGAGTCAGAGCCGGCTCAACGACACTTAACAACAAAAACAACAACAACAACAAAATGATTAGGAATCCCCCAAAGCTACCACTCCACCCATTGTGCCCTCTTTTCTTAGTAACACTGGGCTATGTGGGTACAGGCACCAAGAGTACATAGAGTTAGGTTCATCCATGACTGGTTTTTTTTTCCCCCATATATGCGAGACCAAAAGAAAGAGAGCGTTTAGGATATTGGCAAGAATACATGGAAAGGCTATGTAATCTAAGCTGGATAAAGAGAAAGATGGTATTTATGATATCAAAGAATGATCATGTTGGAGGTATTAAACAAGCTGGAAGGCTAAAAGGCAAGGAACAACAAGCACCAGAATGTAATCCTGAGAGTGGTTAGTTTACGTGGACTGGAGATGAGAAGGGATGTAAAAATTTGAGTAGGGTGATTTGAGGCATGATATTGACAAACGTCACCCAGTATTATGGGAGAATAATACAGAGAAAGTGGGCTCTCCCAAGAATCAGGGTTCCTGATTACTTGAGTGACCAGGCAATTGGTAAAGGTAAGTGTGGAGTGAAAGAATATGGCACAATCAAAAGATTTTCAAAGGAGTAGGATTTTTTTAAAAGAGAGCAGGTTGTAATGATCTTGAAGTAGTAAATGGGCATCAAGGTGGAAAACAAGCCTACTTTCCAATCTTGAGGTATAATGTGGTGTGGGAAATTAAAAAAAAAAAAAAAAAAAAAAAACATTACTTGAGAGGGCTGCAGGTTAGTGGTGTCTTTATGGAATAATCATTTTCAGTTAAGACAAGGAGATGGAGGAAACTCTTGGAATAGAGGTTAAAGATAGAGGGAAGTTTTCACAACTATCTTAAACAAACTTTCCACTGAAGATCTCATTATGATCTTCTGACAAATTCTTTTGTTTTTTATTTCTCTCTCATCCCTAATAACCAACCCCACAACACACACACACACACACACACACCACAATTAAAAACCTTACTATCTTTCAAAGTTTAATTCCTGGGAACAGGATAGCATATGGTCTTTCCTGATTACACATATGGGAAATTATCTCTCCCCGCCCCCCTCCCCCCTCCCCCCCGAATTAGGCTATTTCATTAGTATTGGTTTGGTTTGTAATCTTTGTGTCTTATCCTCTGTTAGATTGTGGCTTAATGCCTTGATTACATAAATATTTATTAACTGAATGAAAAAACAAGTAAAATTTATTTGCTTCTAAAAAACCCTGTTTTCAAGAGTAGTTGAACCTTGGGACCATAGTTGCAGGGGACATCAAGCTCAATTGGCATAACATACTATACAAAACATTGTTCCACCTCCTACTTTGGCAAGTAGTGACTGGGATCTTAAAAGCTAGCAAGCTGCCATCTAGATGCAACAATGGGTCTCTCCTTGTCCAGAGCAAAGAAGAATGAAGAAAACCAAAAATTCAGGGAAACAATTAGTCCTAGCAACCGATACACCATCGAATCTGCAGCCTATACAACTCTGAGACCAGAAGAACTAGATGGTTCCCGGCTACAACTGTCATCCACTTGGAAGGGGATCTATGTAGGAGATCCTTGATAGAGAGGGAGAACAATGTGGAACAAAACTCAAAATCATTCGGAGGAAAAAAAAAAGGGGTGGGGGGACCAGGTTTGCTGGTCTGATAGAGCCTGGTAGAACCACTGAGACTATGGCCCCTGACTGCCCTTCAGGTCTAGAGTTGAACCCACACCTGTGGTTTCCAGCCAAGCAGGGGACAGGCATATGAGTTGAACATTTACCTCAAGTAGATGCTCTCCTTGGAGAGAACAATCATGAGAGAAAGAAGGGCTGCTTATGCGCAGGGAGACAGCTCAGGGGGCAGGAGTCCATGGAGGGATGGGCTTGGGGAAGAGGTGGCTGTGGGGAGGAAGAGGGAGGGGAGCTGTTGCATTGTGGTAAACTGTGGGCAATGTCATGAGACAAAGTATATGTGAACTGCTGTATGGAAAATGAATTTGCTCTGTAAATCTTCACCCAAATCACAGTAAAAAAAAAAAAAAGAAGAAAAAAGGATAACAAAACCCATTTTCAATAATTTCCCTCATTCTTCTATGTATTGAAAATGCACCTGTTAGATAAGTCTTAGAAGAAATATGAGAATAGGCCTTTTGTTATTTTCTCGCACTTGTGTGTAAACATTTTCTATGCTTAGTTACCAAATGGTAGTTAATAAAAAGAGTTTTGTTCTATACTTATTTTGTATGAGGATTCACATTTTAAAGATTTATTGTAATAGTAAAATCAAGAACTAATTACCAGAAATCATGTACTATGCCCTTTAAATGTATCAACTAATTCAATCATCATAGCAACCCTATGAGGTTGTTACTATTTCACTTCTCATTTTAAAGGTGAGGAAAATAAGACAGACAGATAACTTACAAACTAAATCACAGAACTGTGAGTCATAAAGTTTATATCTGAGACTGGAATCCATGCAGTCTGACTCAGAACCTGTGCTGTTCACCGTTATATTATAATGTTTCATAGAATGATTAACTATATCATGCGGTATGTGACATTACTATGATATGATTTATAACCCTTGCTTGTTATTCAGTTAATGAAAGGTTTTTGTTTTTTTTTTCAAATTACTTTAAAGAAATTAAATAACTCAAAAACCTATAGTTTCTCCAGGACCAGCTTGCCATAAGGAGGATGAGAAATCAATGAAAAAGAAGAATCAAACTCTTGCTTGTTCAAAAGTTATGAAATCCAGGCATGTGTCATATGATAGAACAGGTATGTAGTATCACTGAACCATCTTGTTTAGAAGACATTACAACTTTTTCAAATTATTTTATGGTTTTGTGTGTTTATGTTGGACACTGATTTTTGAAGAAACAATCACATTGAATTTTATGGGTTTGGTTGCTTAGGAATGGTTAAAAAATTTTTTTTTAATTCTTTTTGAAAACCTCTAAATTATTTATTAGATTAAAACATTGATAAACACTGTTCAGTGTTTGTGTTCCTACTTAAGAATAATTCCTGAAGGTTATTGTTATGGAACTAACATAAGATAAAGTTGTGTGGCTTTGTTTTATCCTTGTAAAAGTTGATGGTATTTTTTATTTCAAAGTGTTATGTGTTTGTCTCATGTAGAGTTTAAATCCCCAAATAGTTTATTTAAACAGATATATCTCCACTAACATTTATTTTCCAGACTGTTATTTCTCTGTACCTGAAATTCATGTTTGAATTAATATTTTAAAGTTTTATAATTTTCATTTTTCACTAATATTTTCTGTTTTCTGTTGAAATTTCATGGTCCAGAGATAGAGTTCTCATAAAGTCATTGAAGCTTAGGCTTCAGGTACCTCACTTACAGAGGCTTCTTCTTTCCCTCAAAGAAGATCCCCCAAACTGTAAATACCTCAGAGATCAGAAAACCGGCATGGATTTGGTAGACAGACTTTAAAAAGGCCCCATTATCCTGATCTGTTGGTGTCTAAGCAATAGTGTAATCAGTCCCCTTGAGTATGGGCAGGACCTGTGACTGCTTCTAATCAATAGAATACGGCAGAGATGATGGCATGTTGTTCCATGATTATGTTAGAGAAGACTGTCTTGCTAGCAGACTCAATCTTGAATCTCTCCTTTGCTGGCTTTGAAGAAGCAAGCTGCTATGACTCTTACAGCCACAAGGAAATACATACTGCCAAAAATCTGAGGGAACATGGAAGCAGATCCGTTCTCTGTTGAGCATCCAAATGAGAATCTAGCCCCAGCCCACACCTTGATTACAGCCTTTGAGTTAAGCCATTCCTGGACTCCTGATTCAGAGAAGCTGTGAGATAATAAATATGTGTTGTTTAAAACTGCTAAATATATACAAAAATGCTAAATATACACAGTGGAAACTAATACTGTGGCTGCATTGCAACAAATGCAATCACTGTTGCTTTGGATTAAGAATTCTTAGTATGTTGCCGCATTGTTCTTTAGTGTTTTGAAATTGATTTCTAGTGTAAGAAAACACAATCATTTAAGCTTAATGGCTGCCAGATAAATTTTTACAAACCTAATCCTTGAAATATTGTATTCCTTTAGTTTTCTTGCTTCATTTACCTCTATAAATCGATGCAGGCAAAGACTAACAAAGACCTAGTTGCTTTAAGATATTTTTAGATTTATTAAAAATTATGAAGTATTTCACATAGAAAAAAAGTAGGGAAAATAATTTAACAGACATCTGTGTATGCATTACCTAGATTTAACAGATGTTAGCGTTTTGTCATTTTTAAAAATATTCTAAGATGTTCTCCAAGATTCCACCCCATGGTGTACGAGCCTTGTATAATTTCCCCCTTGAGTGCAGGCAGAACCTGTCAATATGATGGAATTTCTCTCTCATGATGGTGTTATGTTATATGGCAAAAGGGACTTTGCAAATGTAATTAAGGCCCCTAATCAGCTGACTGAGCTAATCTTGGGTAAGCCTAATCAGCTGACTTTATCAGCTAAACCCTTAGAAGAGACCAGAAGCAGCACTAAAGGTTTTCCTGCTGGCTTTGAAGGAGAAAACTTCCATGTTGTAGAGTAACCACATGACAAGGAGCCAAAAGTGGCTTTTAGTAGCTGAGAACAGTCCTTGACTGACAGCTAACAAGAGAATGGGAGCCTCAGTCATATACCCACAAGGAATTTAATTCCTCCAACAACCTGAAGAATCTTAGAAGCTGATCAAGCAGATCTTTCCCTAGTTAAGCCTACAAATAAGGGCATAGTCATTGATATTTTTATTTCAGTACCATGAGACCCTAAGCAGAAGACTCAGCTAAAATGTATTAGACTCCTGACCTACAAACTATGAGACAATAAATTTGTGTTGTTTGATGCCACAAACTTTGTGGTAATTCAGTAGAAAACAGACACAGAAGTAAAATCCAACAGATACAGCTAGAGCCACTCCCTACTTTTTCCTCTCCCAATTCTCATTTCCCAGAAGTTATAACTAGGATCAGCTAACAACTATCTTGAAATCAGTGATCATCTTTTCCATTTATACCTTTCCTACATTTATACTTGTTGTTGTTGTTATTTGCCGTCGAGTCGGCCCCGACTCATAGCGACCCCTCCTTGGGTTTCCGAGGCAGTATCACTACGGAAGTAGGATTGCCCAACCTTCCTTTATACTTAGGCATGTGCTAATATTAAAACTAATCTGCAAATTCATTGGTACACCTTTCTTCAAAAGGTAGAGCCTTATTGTCCTCCCTTTGAGTGAGGACTGGACTTAGTGACACAATTCTAACAAATAGAATATCATGGAAGAGATGGAGTGTGACTTCTAAGACTAAGTCATGAAGGAATTGCAGTGTCCTCTCTCTTGGACCACTTACTCTGGGGGAAGCCAGCTTCCATGTCAGAAGGAAACTCTGTTGTTTTTGTTATGTGCTGTCGAGTCAGGCCTGACTCATAGCGACCCCTCCTTGGGTTTCTGAGGCAGTATCACTATGGAAGTAGATTGCCCCATCTTTCTTCCGAGGAGTGGCTGGTGGGTTTGAACCGCCAGCCTTCTGGTTAGCAGTCAAGTGCCTTAGGTATTACACTACCAGAGCTCTCTAGGGAAGGAATTAGTATAGTGAGGAACTTAGGGATCCTGCTAACTATCATATGAGTGATCTGTCTTGGGAGAAGACCCACCAGCCACAATCAAGCCACCAGATGACTGCAATTTTGGCTAACATTTTGATTTCAACCTCATGAGAAACCTTTACCCAGAACCACCAACTAATCCACTTCTGAATTTAACTGTTTTAATAAAATGTTATTGTTTTAAACCCCTAAGTTTTAGGACAGTTATTTTCACAACAAGAGATAACTAATACATTGACAAAAGTATCTAGCATTGTTTTATGTATACAGAATCTCACAGTAATACTGACCTAAAAAAAATAAATAGAGAAGAATATATACTGTGTGGTTTTATTTATATTAAGTAAAAAATATGCAAAACAAATCTCTGATCTCTGACGTTTTAGGTTAGGATCGTGGTTATATATTTGTGAGTATAGGGTGAAGTAGGATTAGTAATTAGAAGGGATTTAGAAGGAGATTTCAGCAGTGCTAGTGTTGAAATGGACTGGCATTGGCCATTTTGAATCAGAGAACCATATAATCTCTTATGCCAGGAATGACAAATTGAAGAAGAATGGCATTGCATTCATTGTCAAAAAGAACATTTTAAGATCTACCCTGAACAATGCTGTCAGTGATAAGAAATATCCAAACACCTACTGCAGAGAGATTGGAATTCTCATACGCTGCTGGTGGGACTGCAAAATGGTACAGCCACTGTGGAAAATGGTATGGCATTTCCTTAAAAATATGAAAATAGAAATACCATTTGATCCAGAAATTCCATAACTAGCAATACACTCTAAAGAGGTGAGAGACAGGACACGAACAGACATATGCACACTCACATTCATTGCAGCACAATTCACTATAGCAAAGAGATGGAAACAGCCTAAATGCCCATCAACATATGCGTGGATAACCAAACTATGGTACATTCACACAAAGGAACACTATGCAACATTAAAGAATAATGAGGAATACATGAATCTTCTCACAATGTGGATGAATTTGGAGGACATTATGCTGAGTGAAATAAGTTGATCACAGAAGGATAAATATTGTATGAGTCCATTACTGTAAAAAGTCAAGGAAAGATTTACTCAGGGAAGGAAATTCACTTTGTTGGTTATGAGGATAGGAGGGAAAAGGAGGGAAAATTTCAGACTAATTGGGGGTCACATGGTGATTTGGGTGAGGGGAGGGGAGGTACGGAAAGAGTCTGTGACCAGCATGATGACACTGGGGAAAGGGAGGACACAGAACAACAGTCTGAAATTGACCAAACATGCAAACAAGGTGTATTGATTACTGCTGGTGATTGAAACATTGAAACATTGGAAACAAAGAAGAATCATTAGTAGATTGAAAATATGGCCTATGGATACAAGTGACACTGGAGCTCGTATGATAGAATTTTGCAAAACCAACAGCTTATTCATTGTAAATACTTTTTCTTCAACAACACAAATGGTGATTGTATATGGTGATCTCACCAGACGAATACGCAGAAATCAAATCAACTACATTTGTGAAAGAGGAGATGGAGAAGCTCAATATCACCAGTCAAAACAAGGCCAGGAGCTGACTGTGGAACAGACCATCAATTGCTCATACACAAGTTCAAGCTGAATACAAAAACATTAAAACAAGTCCACGAGAGCCAATATATAACCTTGAGTATGTTGCATCTCAGTTTAGAGACCATCTGAAGAATATAGATTTGACACATTGAACAACAGTGACCAAAGACCAAATCAGTTGTGGGATAACATCAAGAACATCATACATGAAGAAAGCAAAAGGTCATTAAAGAGATGGAAAAAGAAGAAATGACAAAAATGAATGTCAGGAGAGACTCTGAAACTTGCTCTTGAGTGGAGAGTGCTTAAAGCAAATGGAAGAAATGATGAAATTAAACAGCTGAACAGAATTTCAAAGGGCAGCTTGAAAAGACAAAAGAAAGTACTATAATGAAATGTACAAACACCTAGAGTTAGAAAACAAAAAGGAAGGAGACCCTTAGCATTTCTCTAGCTGAAAGAACTGAAGGAAAAACTTAAGCCTCAAATTGAAGGACTGAAGGATTTTAAGAGCAAAATGTTGAATGATGCAGGAAGCATCAAAAGAAGGTGGGAGTCAGTGTGGAAAGGTGGGAA